GGGGGTATTAGTGAAGTACGAGGTATTTTATAAGGATGTTAACTGATAAGTCAACACGTGTAGTGATCTTCTTTAAGTCTTTATATCCAAATTAGAGCCTCAAATACGAATGCAGAGACAAAGTTCAAATACAAATGCATGAACTCGACAAATTCGTGTTTTTGAAAAAGCTTTCATAACTACACATCTCCCTACGATGTGTAATCCTGTGTATTTCACTATCCATTGGTAGGAACCACGTTTATAGGGAAATAAGGTGAGTGAAGACATGAAGTCACTGGATTGCGGCGAGTCAAAACCTTCAGCAATAAAATATTGTCTTTTCTCAGCATATGCTGCACTGCAGTGTTTGCTGTTATTGGAATCGAATATCTCTTGTCACTCAAAAACGTTTTAAAGATTTTTCTCACAACACGTTAAAGATGCGGTACAGTCCGTATGTAAACAAATGCTCTGTTTACATTTCGGTATTCAAAATATTGAATTTTATTCGACAACTATTTATATTTTCATGAGATAACAATCAAGCTTTGCAAGAACATAAAATGAAATAAAAACCTATAAATAAACTGTTTGTAAATAAAAACACATGCGCAGATCGGACTGTACCGCATCTTGAACCATCATTGGCATATTTTTGCTGTCACTCGCTCTGCTATCAAGTATCCTGGTAGTTGTGTTTAAGAAGATATATAAATATCACTATGATCGAAACATCGTTACATCACGTCGATCAATACGACGTCATGTAAACAATTCAGTTTAAAGTTCTGAAGGAAACCCGACCCAGTAACCCGCAACATCCCTTGTTATATAAACGCAAGTTGGTTTTTATTGCTCACAATAGACCTTTCCGGTAATTACGTCACAACTACATCGTTTTTAAATATGGACCACCTTAAATGGAATGGATTTCAAGTTTTTTTCTCACTGGTTATGTGCAAAGTAGCAACATCCTTCTTCAACACATGCATGAAAAAGAATTTTCTATTTTGACCAATAAATGTGGAAATAAGCTATAACACGAAAACGAGGCTAAGGGGTCTTGGCCCCTTAGCCTCGTTTTCGCGTTTAAGCTTATTTTCATATTTATTAGTCAAAATAAAAAAACTCTTTTTCATGCATGTGTTGAAGAAGGATGTTGCTACTTTGTGCATAGCCAGTGAGAAAAACACTTGAAAACGCGCGATTTAAGGTGGTCTTAATTAAGTTGAAAACGCTATAGTTGTGACATAATTACCGGAAAGGTCTATTGCTCGCTGGTTTAGAAATTTTTGATTAAATGCGTGACCATGGGGCCTGGACGCGAATTAAGAGCATTTCAATACCATCAGTTGTGTCTTCAAGCTAGTGATAGATGCCAGTTGGCAATAAATAAGTAATGTGTAAATTAATTTCATTTTTGTGACAAAGTAATTAATCCAAGTACAGATAATTTGGCCATGAACAGATTATCAGTGTGAGCCCACCGGACATGCTTAGGATTGCAGACTATTTGAAATTGGTCTGTGGCCTAATTGTTGAACTGAAGGCATTCACTTCTTCAGGTCGTTCGGGAATAAAAATTGTTTCCAATTGCTGTTTGTTCCAAATGTATTTTTGGTCTAGACTGAGTAGACTCTGGGGCTAAATATCGCATGATCGCAACATTTCTTATTGCATCTGTAGCCATGATTTAGGAGCGAATTGTTAACAGAAAGCAGTGAAAGGATTTGGAGCAACCTCGTACTACCCAAGATTTTTCCAAACCCTGGGTACGAGGTTGAATTTGGAGCAGATTAGGTGGGATATATAATACAGGGTGTATAAAAAAACTGAATAGATATGAATTTGCTCTCAATTTCGCAAAACAGCTATTATTATCCAGTTTTTGATGTATATAGCTTCTTTGGGTACTTATAATGTAGAATAATAAAAACAAATTCTCGAACTCAAATTTTGTGAACCAGGGGGGGGTCTCTTTTCCAACTAACTAAAACTGGCTTGCGCACGAAATTTAAAAGAATTAATCATCTTCTTAGTTAATAGATGGAAACTTTGTTGGGTTTTTAATTACTGTACAAAATTTCAGACAATTTGCTTTAGTTTAAGCCCTTTAACTATTCATTTTTCCCTAAAAAATCAGCCTTTCATATTGCTGACATATGCAAATTAGGCAAAGGCATTAATTAAGCATGTTTGCGCGCATAGTGAAAGGGCTTAAACTAAAGCAAATTGTGCGAAATTTTGGACAGTAATTACAAACCCAACAAAGTTTTCATCTATTAACTCAAAATATGATTAAAGCTTTTAAATTTCGTGCGCAAGCCATTTTTAGTCTGTTGGAAAAGACACACCATCCTGGTTCACAAAATTTGAGTTCGAGAAATTTTTTTCATTATTCTACATTACAAGTACCGAAGGAAGCTATATACATCAAAAACTGGATACTAATAGCTGTTTTGCGAAATTGAGAGCAATTTCAAATCTGTTCAGTTTTTTTTTTATACACCCTGTAGAATACAATTTGAAAAAAGAAATTGTAGCAGGGCAATACGACCTGTACACAAACTACCGCTAGAGCAAGTGACACATTTTCGTAAAGAGTGGCATTTACACCTATGTAATTCAGATCAAGCTTTTCTCTTTTTCAATTCCTAGTTTAAAATTTTATTGTTCATGATAGATATAGTCATGTAAAAAATTCATTTCCTATGACCTCTTTCTTTTAGATGTTACCTTGTGTAAGTCAATTTTTTAGCGACTCTATTAGTTCGAACAACGAATGTGGAGGAGAATCATTTTCAGGTAAGTTCCTAGCCATCTCTCTTGCTTCTTCATTGCAGATCTCTGATTTGACAACGGACTCCAGATTGATATATTTCTCCGTTAACTCATGCAATATTACTACGACCTTCCAACCCTTATAATCAACAACTTTTGCAACCTCTCTCGCTTCTTCTAGAAACTTGAGCGCTTCATCTTCCTTATCGAGAGTTCCGCAGATCATGTTTAGGCAAAAAAGACTGTCAAGAAAATTGTCGCATGAATCTTTGGTTATGCGAATTTTTCTGCGGATTTTAACAGCCTCGGTGTAGTATTCCTTAGCTTGTTTGAGGTTGCCCATCTGTTTCGCAGTAAAGGCAATATTTTCATAGATCAGTGCCGTATCATGATTGGCGCTATTATCTCCGTAAATTACAGAGTTCATTCTGAGAGCATCCTGCAAGAACTGGAAAGCTTTGGCAAAATCACCATAATTGTTTAAATATATTATTCCAACGTTATTCAGTATTTCTAAAGTAGTAGGATGAACGTGATTTGGTCCTAGAATTTCATCCATCATTTCCTTGCCTTCTTGCAAGTACTCCAGAGATTTCTTCGAGCTCAAAGCGTTTCCCAAATTATTCAGCATTCTAGCGAGAATGATGTGAGGTTTTCTATGAAAAACGGTTCTCGCATATTCTAATGCAGTTTCCAAATTCTCCAAGTGGGTTATACAGGGCATTTGAGCATCATCTGAAAATAAAAAGAGTTTTTCTTCAGGTCGCAGAAAGATGTGTCACATAATTCATTATGGGTAGTTAATTGACCCGCGATATAGATTATACTTAATATCACTTATTTACTGAGACCGAGGGAAACAGTGTGTTTTGTGGACCCGAGACCGCCGTTGTTGCCCGAGGCGAAGCCGAGGGCAACAACGGCGATCGAGGGGCCACAAAACACACTGCTTTCCAGAAGTCTCAGTAAATAAGTGTTTTGTTATATAGTATGTAGGTGTCAAAGTATGAATAATTCACCGGTTATTGGAGTGAACTTAATTTGAAACCAAAACTGGAATGCCGTAAATGTTTAGTAAAAAGTTTTAAAAATGAACTTTGGAACTTCATGGCTGACACGCATGCGTATTGCACCCATTTTATTATTGACCGGTCAATAAATGTTTGATTGCGGACCGGTTGCCGAACATGACGTTTTGTGGACCGGCACGTGACACGGTTTTGACCAATCGGCAAACAGAAAAATTGAACTTTGACACTAACTATATAACAAACACATTTATTGCAATACACTTCCTTTTATAACTGTAAAATCGTATATGAAGGTTATTCTGTTCAGTTGAATTATGTTATGCCAAATAATTCCAAATTATTCTTCTTGGAAGTTCAGTAACATAGTCAATATAAGCGTGGACCACATGAAAAAAAAACTAGTCAACTGACCTATGCTGGATAGTCCTATTAGTCCTAGATTGTTCTTCATATAGGCCCGGTGAA